ACATGTTTTTTAGAAATTTTTCTGTCTTAGTCAAATAAGCTATATTATTATTCAATTTAGTGGAACAATATACAATGTAACTTTCCGTTAAATCTGATATATAGGTATTACACTTAATTTAAATATGTATATTATATTTAATAAAAATTAATGGTGTTTCACATCGAATTTCATTTTTAAATTTTTTTAGAGTACAGAATGACTTCCACAGAAATTTACAACTTCAATAATTTAAATACCTTCAAATAAATAAAGTAAATAATTTTTTTGCATTTTATGCAGCTCGCGATTCAAACTAAAACATTGTACTTTTTGATGACATTTTGTATTTTTTTAATTCGTTTTTTTAAATAATAGTTAGTTTATTTTGTATGTGTTGTCCGGCAACGATAATCAAAGGAACTCCTTTATTAGTCGATACTCGGGCTCAAAGCCACTTTTCATCATTCCTATATTAATAATATCCTATATTATTCATAAATATCCAATAAGAATTAGTTATCCTCTTCATGTATATGACTCACTCTTTGTAGCAAAACCAAACGATTTTACTGCCATCTTTTAGATATACAGGGTGTTCCGTTTTTATTGTTACAAATTTAAACAGGTGATAGGATATTTAATTCTAAGACAAAAATTTCCTATAAACATGTATCGAAAAATGCTTGGTAAGGGAGCTACACCCCCTGAAAGGGGGCTAATAGGTTTTTACTAATATTTCAGAAACTATTTAAGATGAAATTACAAAATTTGGTACAGATGATAACCTTTATACACCTAAACGAATTCAAACATCAATTGTAGAAATTTTTAATCAGGGGCGTCCGAAACTGAGGGGGTTTAGGGTAAAAAAATACCCTATCTACTTTGGCTTTAGTTTCTCTAGTTATGCATTGACCAAAATGGTGGTCACTTTGACCAACTCTTTTAGGTTTAGGCGAATTTATTTAATTAATGTTATTATTGTTACTGTAATGTAATGCTAATTAGTTGAGGTTGATTAAAAAATATGAATTTCTTGCTTTCATTATTCTGTAAATTCTGTTTTATTTGAATGTTGTATTGGTGTGTAACATAAATTTTAAATTAATTTTATTCAAAGACAATAAGTCGTATCGACACAAGAGAGACTTTTCTGTGATAAACCATCAAACTTAAGATTTTGTGGCTGAAAGTACCGAGAAACTAAAGCCAAAATAAATAGGGTATTTTTTTACACAAAACTCCCCCAGTTTCGTACGCCCTTGATTAAAAATTTCGACATTTGATGTTTGAATTCGTTTAGGTCTATAAAGGTTATCATCTGTACCAAATTTTGTAATTTTATCTTAAATGGTTTCTGAAATATTAGCAAAAACATATTAGACCTTCCAGGGGGTGTAGCTCCCTTACGAAACATTTTTTGATACATGTTTATAGGAAACTTTTGTCTTAGAATTGAATATTCTATCACCTGTTTAAATTTGTAACAATAAAAACGGAACACCCTGTATATATATATTTATTTATTTTTAACAAATCACTTAGTCGACTCCAGCACCATAAAATTTTAAACAAGCTACTTAAAGGCCATATGCCGCCCTCTATTTAAACAGTTAATTAGAACAATTGTTAAACATTCCGATAACATTACAGAATTATAATCAAGACCTTTTTATGTAAAAACGTAGTTTTACTTTAAACATACACAAACGACAATCTTATCTTATCTCTATATTGCTTTAATTTTTTCCTACCTTACTACAATTATTTTTCTAAGAAAATTTTTCCAAACGATACACTTCAACTTTTATATATTCATCAGTACTGATTGGCACTAATGATCGTCGTTCTCTGCACTGATATCAGAGTGACATAAGATGATAACTTAGATTCAACTTGCAAATCCTAATTTAAGTTGGATCAAAGGAGTAAATGGAATTTTGTTTTTTGGGTTGCATCGMAAGGCTCATTATCTTATCTGAATCACCCTGTATACGAATTGATTCCAAAGTGTTGGATGGTGATAAAATATATCGAAATGAGTTAAAAATTCCCTTGACAAAAAGTTGTTTAAGCCTTTTTTTCATAAGATATAGATAGCTCTTCAAAGGTTAGATTTTCGGTTAAATTTTTGACTGTTCAGAACATGCATTGTTGAATTTTATTAGCGAAAACGGCATATCTAATAATATTGAACAAATATCTAATAAAAAATTACCAATTTGGGTTTGATGTTGTAGAAATTATTTAATAAACTAGCAAATTTAACAATAAAATAAATTCGACAACATTAGAAACAAAAGAACTAAAATGCCTACATGATATATGAAAATTGGGAGTTTTGTATTTCCCAAAAAAAGAGGTTTAAAAAAATCTGAATTCATTTTTATGTTTAGTTGAAAGTCTTCTATCACCATTCGAAAATTGTTCCGAAATTTTTGAATCACCCTGTATTTTTATGAAAAAATTAAAGATAATTAATTTTATTGCTAATCTTTATAATTCCATATTGTATAAATTGTTTTTTATTGTTTGGTAATAATACATTGGTGAATGTAATTCATTTCTTGGAATGATCGTCTTCAACACTATTCGAGTTAAAGACATTTCCAAGAATTTTTGCAACCCGTCCAAGCACAGTGCAGTGCCCTTCTGTAAGTTTAGTTTTAGTCTGTTGTGAAAGTAAGCAACACTATGGTAAGTTAAAAGCAGCTTTTATTACTATCTCAGATAAATTATTTCGGAGATTAATTTTAACAATCATACATTGTTGCAATAATTATATTAAAAAATAATTATACCAGGTAAATAAAAAGTATGGAACTATTTATTTTTTAGATAAATTAATTGATGAATGATAAAATACTATAAAAATTTCTTATTTCATTACAAATAAGTTTTTTATTTTTTTGCATGGCAATCCCATATAAAACCATTCTCATGAAAGTTATGATCTGAGGATTACAACTAACTACTTAATATTTAATTTTCTCAAAAAAATGTTTTTCATAAATTGCAATTTTGACAAAAAAAATCGCATAACTCAAAAGCAAAACAAAATTGCGTTCTCAAAATACGATCAAAATTTTATATTACTTTATATTTATATTAATTATTATTTTCTGGAGAAAAATGATTTAAAAAAAAACGCTTGGTTCTATACTTTATATTCACCCAGTATAGTAATTATGTCACGACTAACTTATCCGAAATTTATCTGAAGATTGTAAAAGCTAACAACATTGTAAGTAATAAATTATTAAATTATTAAAAAAATATAATTAATTTTGATAAATTTGTTTTTACTTTTATTAGTTTTTTTTTATATTAATAGAGTAAATAATAACTTTTTTATGAACACTTTTTCCAGTCCCACAACAATTCAAATCCGCCGGTGAAGACGGCGGCTTCACCGTCACCACCAGAAGACGGAGAACCGCCGCGACCCCCATCAAAGTCGCCGCCACCCCCCTCAACGTCGCAACAGCACCCGCACCGGCAAATTCGACGGGTGCTACAAAATCAAAACGGTATTTATTCAGTTTGAAAGCGCTAAATATATTCTAATTTCAAATTTTATAGTCGTCGCCGGGGCCGAGGTCGGGGTCGGGGTCGGGGCCGCGGCTGCAGCCGGCATCAAAGCCGCCAGGGTGAAACCCTGGCAAGTACCAATGCACAGTCTGCTAATAAGACTGTGCATTGGTACAAAAATATAAATATATATAATTTTTATTTAAATATTAATAATAAATAATAAATAATTTCAAATTGCGTTTTGCTTCTCTCAAATAAGAATTTAATATTTATTTCCAATGAAAAAAATTGAGATAAAAATAGTCAGCTATTTTACCGTTGTTACTTTTACTGATAACAGTGATAACTAATTATTTGTATTTATATTTATGTTCCCTTTGAACTCTAACATAACTAGCTTAGGGTACGCACACAAAAAAAAACAGGCAAACCGGCGCCGAGTATCAACGCCGAAGTTAAGCGCCTACCTACATTCGGCGAGAGAGCACACATAAAACGCTTGTAAATAAGCGTAAAGTTGTCAGTTTTCTGTCAAATTTTTCATTTTCTGTCAGATCAGAAATGTCAAATTTTTCATCGAATGAGGACTTTCTATTACAGATAATAAAAAAAAAACATAATGGAGAATATCACCATTTATTTAAAACGTTAAAACAATAAAGTGTCAATTTTTTTGAATATGTATATGAAGATAATTTTTGAAATCTTTATATCTTTCAAAAATTTGGATTACCACGACCTGCGTGTAACTAGAATAAGCAATCCGCCCCGTCCGTCGTGAAGAAAAACTGATTATTAGCGTTATTAGTTATTAGTGTTAGGTAGGTCCCTGAAAGTTCAAGGTGGAAAGATGTGCTATTATTTTCAGTAAACAATAAGATATTCAAATTTTGTTTTTAAGCGACCAACAGAAACATTGATTTTGTTACAAATATTGAACTAAACACCTACAGTGGAGTATTGTATGTACAACAGAGTGAAAGTAGGTAGGTACCTACCTATACAAAATACGATTTTTACATCCACAAGAAAGTGCAGAAATATCAGTTACGTGGATTTTAATGTTTGTTGCTTTAAGAATGTAAATTTCGAAAATCATTTTCTAAAACATTCGAAAAAGTTTTGTTGAAAATTGATTGTATTCAACAAGAAAGAAGAAGGACTTTTTATGTTACTTATTATGACTATGTTATTTGTTCTTTGCACTATTACAGCAACATAGCAACTACTACGTCGATCGTCAGCAACCAAGAATGAATATCGGCGCCGATCTTTGGCATGAACAAGTACAGACCTGCTTTGTCTGTGTGCATACACATGAGTTTATATGAGTCAGTTATCGGCGCTTATAGGCGCCGATTGCCAGTAAGCAGGTAACCTGCGGTCTTTATGTGCGCACCCTTACAGCTTCGCTCTTGACTTGATGTAGCATTTGTTGATTAATGAAATTACTAGGAATTTTCTCTTTAACTTTTTTATGAATAATTGTTAAAAATATTTACAAGATGTTTTTGGATATTTTAAAATGTTATAATTTGTCTTGTAACATTATTATAAAATATCAAAATGCACGACCTAGTCCTAAACGTTTCATTCGTTAATGTTTATTATACTCTGTTCACGATACGAAGACGTATTTGATACTGACAGTGATATAACAATGTTCCAAATAATGCTCAAATCTATAACATAAATATGATTATTTATGTCATTTTAAGCTTATATTTTGCGACATGTTAAACCTTTGGTTTAAAACAAAGAAAGAATCTAATATAAAATCTAATATAATAATGAAAATTAGCACTATACAGTAACTTCTTTATTGATAAATAACCAAATTTGTTAATTCTCTTACTATGTAGTCAATTATAATAAAAACTGATGAAAACAATGTATGTCCATATCAACAAAAATGCATTCACAGTAATGTTGATATATAATACTTTGACAGTATTTTGTTGTTTTTTGTATTGAAAATACTGTTAATGTTACGCACGTCTTGATATCGTGAACAGAGTATAGCAACTACTATTTACAAATACGGCATTCCCTCCCCTATATTGTTTTGAGGGAAATCAACTAATAAAATTGATGGATCGCGTTTCCTGATTCAAGTTTTTTTTTATCAATTTAAGTTCCTAATTTCCAGATCAGCTGAGCTGAGTATACCGAATGTAAACAAAAAAACACACGACTCGTGATGATTATCACGGAACATATGATTACTACAAACATTTCCCTGCAAAACAAAGGTTATTACACTGTATCGAATGAAGAGCGAAGCTGTGAGCTATGTCGCACAGATCAGATTCATTGTGTCTCTCTATGTGCCTTGTCTTGTCTCACTAAGTGACTGTGTCTCTATGTCTAGATCTCTATGTATCTGTGTGTTATATGATTATTCTTACAGCTTCAATCATTAACGACGTTCTATCAAGAGGTGCAACAAAAGGCACAACAAGAAAACACAACGCTAGTTTCGGTATTGGCCGACATAGACATCGCCATAAATGAAGTCAAGGAAGATACGAAAAATATGAAGAAAGATATGAACAACTTAAAAACTCTAAATACGGGATATTATTCGGGCTGAGGTAGCCACGTTGGTTAAAACCGAAGTGGACAAAAAATTAAAGAAACTTGAAATTGTTTGCAAAGAAAAGATGTCTTTATTAGTTTGTTTTGTCCAGATTATTCATTCCCATTATTATGTTCAATAGTCCACGGTAGCACGGCAAACAAGCCGGATATAAATATAATTTCGGATAAAACCAAAAAATGATACACAATTATATTATCGCATAAGTGTTATGTCTAAATGAAAATTATTTACTATACCCCTACATTACCAATTATATTGTTGGAAAGTTTTAAATTAAGAACTTTTCGAACAATATGAGCTCATGAGGACCTTGTTCGAATTATAATAAACAAGATAATTAGAATAGCTCAGTTAGTAAAGAGTTAGACAGATAATTACAAGGTTTTGAGTTTGATTCCTGTCGCCGCCTTTTTTTTTTATTGAGAATGCAGTTATTCTTAAATCTGAACTGGTGAGATCTCGAGTGGCCATAGAGATTGAGGACCCACGAAGATTGACGGGCAACTGAGTGCTGCCAAATATTCTCAAAACATTTCTCGGTTTTGGGACTCTTCCATCTATTCATGACTTACAGTAATATCGAACAACAATGACATGTCCTGTTGATTCGCCAAAGGCTCATGAGTCGAAGACGAATTCAGGATTGATGGTCGTGCCGATGATTCTCCTCGATAAACACATACCTATAAACGGTATAAGCTGTCGTGAAAGAGGAGATGCTGTAAGAATAGATCGGATTGTAGTCGGAATGAAAACGGGGAATGTTTTGCACTTATTTTTATTAATTCTGTAAATATTCTGAATCCAAGATTCATCATGAAGGCAAAGTCGAATATTGGGGTATTACAGATAAAGCTTTCAGAATCGATGTAGACAAAGAAGACAAAGTACTATGGAAAAATTTAAACCCCCCCAATTTGGAGGGGTTGAATGGTAATGAAAAAATAAGCACAAATTATGATTTTTGAAGAATTTCATGTCTTTTTCGGTTGTTTACTTTTGGCAAATTATATAAAATTTTAGGATTCTGCCTAGATAGATTTTTACTTTTTTTGCATGCGCCAAATGGCTCGGTCCAGAAATAAAAAGCTATTTTGGGGTGTGTAAAAACATGGTATTTTGTTAGTTTTTTTAGGGCCTTCTTAAAGTAGTTTTAAAGTTTTTTTCGTGTGCCCAATCTTGGTGGTCTACAGATATTTGGTACTTTTGGGGTGCATAAAAATGAATGCTTTCTGAAGGGTTTTAGGTCTTTTTCGGATGTTTTGGGAGAACAGCTGAATTTGTAAGATTCTGCCTTGTTTTTTGAAGACGCCAAATGTCCTGGTCCAGAAATAAAAAGCCATTTTGGGGTGTTAAAAATAAGACATTTTGTAAGTTTTTTAGATCTTTTTCGAATGTTTACTTTTGGGAAAACATTAAATTTATAGGATTCTGCTTTGTTTTTTAAGACGCCAAATGTCCTGGTCCAGAAGTAAAAAGCCATTTTGGGGTATGTAAAAACAAGGTATTTTGTTAGTTTTTTAGAGCGTTCTTGAGGTAATTTTCCATTATTTTGGGAGATTTTAGCGGTTTTTTCGTGTGTCCAATTTTTGGTGGTCTACACATATTTGGGAATTTTTGGGTTGGATAAAAATTAATGATTTTTGAGATGTTTTGGGCCCTTTTCGGTTGTTTGCTTTTGAGCAAACAGTTAAATTTGTAAGATTTTGCCTTGTTTTTTAAGAGGCCAAATGTCCAGGTCCACAAGTAACATTTTATATACTACTGTTATGTCATCCGGAAGCACTTTATCAACAGAGAAGCCTCCAAAACCCGAACAGTCACCCATTGTTAAACGAAGAAAAATAGACAAAGTGTAAACACGTATTCTAGAAGACAAAAGAGAACAACAAAAAATATAACGACTAGACCGTATGAATGGGTTATTATCACAACTAGCCTTATAAAATTTAATTATTAGAACAACCACTATTATGTTTGTTTTGTAACAAATAAAATTTCTGTTTATTTTATTGTAGAAATTATTGTTATTTTTGTTATAAAATATATTGCTATTCATGAGTTCTCATTGGTATTGTCGTAGCAATTTGATTTCTTTTCTAATCCCTTCTTGTTGTAAGTGTGGTGCAGTATTTGTAGGTGGCACAACTTCATGGTGATTAAAGCTGTCCGGGAGTGAACGGGCAAGTCGGTTTTCAGTACTTATTATTCTTTTTCAAAAGCAACCAGCAATACACCTTAGGCAGGGTCCAAACTCACTCTTTATCTGCGTTCAGGGGTTGGGTTAGTAAGGGTAACAAATTGCAATAAAAGTAAAAGATCCGTTCGCTATTATTTTTATGCTTTGAATTTGTGGAAGTTGCTCCAGAAATTTCTTAGAAAGCTAAATATTGTTTTGACTTTTGGATCTTAAAAAAAAATCTAATCATAATTATTCCTATCTACTTGATAGGTTGTACATATTTACTAATTAGAAAGCTCACAGGTTCCATTTTCAATGGAAATTAAATTTTTGTATGGRGTAACAAGACATATAATTCCATAAATTAAAATTTTTACAATCGGAAAAATTACAAACTTATGCAATTGTGGACTCAAAATTTTAGACATCAAGATATGTCAGTTCAAAAAATATCAACGTAAGCCACGCTTTAGTGTCATTATGATTGACGTTTGGATCTAAAACTTTAGGACTTTTAGAAAGATTTAGTTGAAATTTATTTTTGGCGTCGATTTCATAATACATACAATAAAGGCAGCAGTTGCAGTACGTTTTTTATATAGTTATTATTTTTTTATTTTGAATTCTTGTCATTTTTATTCAGCTGTCAGCATAAAAACTACAAATATCAAAAAAAAAGTTGCATATAAAGTCAGTTTTACATTTTATGTCAACCGAATGACAAATCGTCCAAAATTCCGTGTCCGTACATCTAAATATCAAATTTACAATGCGCACTATAAAATTCATATTCTTTGGAGGGGCATTTATAATTTTTTTAGCTAGGTTTTTTTAGTTTAAAAGTGTCCTTGTTTTCCACTACAATTTTTTGCCATTGACCACACTTATGGGTACCACTAACTAACATTTATAGTTACGTCTTATAAAAAAAAAAGATTGTGATAGGCCGAAAAATGATCTCTTCAATATTTTTTTTTCATAGTTGCCCCGCTAAAAAATTATTTGTTTGAGACTTGGGACTTCTGGCGAGCATTTGTTTAAAAGTAATATTTTTTTGTATACGCTCTCGAAACAAGCTGAGTCTTTGCTGGACCCAATAAAATAGTATGAAAATGGTTATATTAGGTACTCAATATCCAAAATATAATTTTTCAGAACGGATAAGTCAATTTAGTTACTATCGTGGCGAAATTGGTTTAATTAATAATAGGTGTAAATTTGTTGTATAATAAATTATTTTGTGATTATTGTTGCTATTTATTAAAACTCTCATAGATAATAAATAATCTTAGATCCCCACAAGGCACACATTTTCTCGAAAAAAAAAATGGTCAGGTCTACTGAAGTCGGGAGATTCGATAGAAGTACAATTCCAACGAAATTACCTTGTTTTCTCATTTCACGTCAAATGTTTCTGCTTCTAGTTTTCTAATGATAATAACTGAAAATTATTATGCTAATTACATGATAAAGATCACCACAATCCGTTATTTGCTTGGGTTGGTACAWGGGCAGACCCTCGATCCTCCACAGCAGCGGCTGACTTAAAGGAAGTTATGCAATATTTGATTAAAATAGGAGCAGGCAGACGTAAGGGTGAAATTTTTAGATAAGAAAATTTTAGAAGCTAAAGTCATAAAAGAATTATTTAGCACAGCCGCTAATCGAATTGAAGCGTTAATACAACTTAGCGATAATTTTGAAGAGGAGGATATTTCCGAGTTTGAATAATTAGTTGAAGATTTGAAGAAAATTTTTAAAGAAATTTTGGCTTTTGCATCTGTAGAAAATCCAATTGACTCCAATATGGCTGCTTTTGATTTAAAAACCGCGATTAGCTTGTTACCGATTATGGACGACACCGAAAATCAGACAATTCAATTAATAGACGGTATTGAACTCTATAGCTCCATGCTCAATAATGAAAGCAATAATATGTTAATTACATTTGTTTTAAAAACGCATTTGTCTCCATCGGCAAAACTAAGGTTATCGCAGTCATATCCAACTGTTCATGCTTTAGTAAGAGATATGAAGGCCTTTTAACCAAAAAACCAGATACAGCTTTACAAGCTAAATTGCTTCGCGTTAAACAAGGTAACAGATCAATTGAAGATTTTGGGAAAGAAATTGAACAATTATACGTGGATTTTACTATTGCACAAGCAGACGGAAACAACGCGAGTTACTCAGTATTAAAACCAATAAATGAAAAATGTGCCATTAAGCGATTTGCTGAGGGTCTTCATATCTTTGAAAGATGCCGTAAGAGCCGCTCAAGACGAAGAGTTAGTCCGTACGGATTCAGACACAAATAGCTATCAAGTAAATTCAATGCGTTATTCCGGCCGCAGTAATTTTAATAACAAGCGTGGAAATTTCAATAAATATCGAGTAAACAAATCATACCACTCAGGTCGTGGTCGTGGCCAGCAGAGTAATTTTTCTAATAATTTAAACAACAATAACAATTACTCTAATTTTAATAATAGCAACAGAGGTAGTCGTCAAAACTACAACAATCGTCAGAATCGGCAAGGTAATCAAAACAGAAGTCGCGGGCAAGGTCGTGGTCGTATTAATTTTGCTGAGACAGATGGCAGTGAGGAAGGTCAGTTTTTTCGTAAACACAACAAGTAAAAACTGCTTATATTCGTATTCAGGTGTAGATTGGATCAGTTTCAACGTAAATAGTAGTAGTTTAACATTTCTAGTAGACACGGGCATCAGTTTGTGCTTTAAAATATGAATATTGTTTAAATCAAAACATTTCAATCCAAAAAGATAAACTGAAAGTCAAAGGCATAGG